CGGGGGGGTACAGCGGGGTCCAGCCTGGGTTAATTGGTTTGTTGACTCGGGCGGGTCGAGCCGGGCCGAGCGGCCTAGCGGGGTTGCCATGGCAGCAGCCAGGCCGAGCCGCAGCCGGCGCGGCGCGTCCAGTCCCATGGGAGGCGAGCCGGCGCCCACAGGGACTCGCTGCGCTGCTAGGTAAAGGGACGGCGCGGCGGGGGGCTGCTCCGCCGGGCGGGCGGGGAGAGGAGCGGGGCAGGCAGGGCTGAGCGCCCCGCCCCGCTCGGGCCGCGCTGGATGGGCGGCGTTGGCTCCGGCGCGACGCGCCCCACCCCAGAGCTGCTCGCACGGCGCGTGGGGCGGGCTGGCGCGGGGCGCTGGCGGCGGCGGCGAGTCGGGGAAGCCCTGCCTGGCTGTAAGATGGCGGCATCCAGCCTGCGCCCCTGCTAGGAGCTCCGCCAGCCCCCGGCCCGGGTCCGCTTCGCGCCGCTTCGGCTTCTGCCCCGGCCCCCTGGCATGCTGCGCCCCCGCGCCGGCCCCTCCGCGCCCGGGTCTTGCCATCGGCGGGGAAGCGCCAGGTAAGGCTGGGCTGGAGCCGAGCCGGGGGCTGGGGTGGGGGGTCGCAGCCCGGGCTCGAACCCACCTCGGGGCTGCTGTGCCCGGCGGGGGAGCGGGAGCGGAGCTCGGGGCGAGCTCCGAGCAGGCTGGCGTGTGGGGCTGGGGGCTGGGGGGAGAGTGCCCTGTGTCAGTGCCCTGGGGTGTGTGTGTGTGAGTGTGTGTGTGTGAGACTGGCATTGTTCGCCTCCCAGGATGCCCAGGCGGACAGACCAGCCTTTAAACCCTGGATAAAGTTTTGGTCGGGAGAACACTGCTCTCCTAACAAGGAGACCGTCTCCGTGCTTAATAGTCAGTGCATCGCCTCCCTTTAAAGGCATATTGGACCCGGCTCACACTCCTTGCCCATTGCTTCTGTCCAGCTAAACGTTTTTGGAAAAAATCCGCCTAGGCCCTTTATTATCTTGTTAAACCTGAAATAAGTCCGTAACAGTATTTTATTTTGCATTTTCTGATTTTTTTAAAAAAAACCTATGATCCAAGCTGCTGAAAGTACTCGAGTCCTTATCTTCCCCTGTAAAATCTGGAGGCAGAAAATGGCATTTAGTGCTGTATTTATGCACCCTTTTATTTCTGTAAAAACAGTGCAAACTGTTTGATGGACTCCTATGTTACTACAGTAATCAGAGAGGGCTAGGGAGAGATTTTTTTGGACTCCAATTAAGACATGCGCATTTGTTCATTCTTGCCACTGCACTGTAGTCTGCCTAGAAACAAAGAGCCCAAGCCCGGCTAAGTTGAAGTTGGCTCAGCAGTGTGGTGTTTGCATCGTTTGCTTCTAGGCAGAGTTAATTTAAGGACGCGTCTAGAGCAGTTTGTTTTCTCCAGTCTGCAGGTAGAACCTCCTGCTCTGGAAGGCCAGGTATACGCATTTCAGAAAGCATGCGGCCATGATAGAGATGGCAACTTCTCCCATTTTCACATTTTCGCCCTGCTGGTCTGACAGTTGTCAGTAGGTGTGCCTTCAGCCAGGGTTCCTCCTCTTTGCTGAATCACTGAGGGTCTATGGCTTTACGGAGCATACGCTCAAGGAAGAATATCCCCAAATAGATGTCAGAAGAAAATGTAAAAGGCCTGTTAACGTTAAATAAGCTCTGGATGTAGAGTTATTTTACAGGGATGGGAGCATTTCTCTTTACAGCAACATTAGGTGTGATGTAGTTTCACATTTAATGGCAAAACATGAGCTGCCGTAATGAACATCCTCTGGCGCCGAGGTAGTGAACTTGGCCTGCTCTTGCTCCATGGGCCTGATCCTGCAACTTTACTCCTAGTAGTAATCCTTTCTCATACAAGTAACCCCACAAAATTCAATGTGGGATCAAGGCCTGTGTGTGCAGAGCGTTGAGTAAATGTGCAGCACCATATGTGCGACGGGTAGTAGTAATAATACTGACGTGGGTTTTGTGTTGACTAGCATTCGAATGGCCAAGTGTCATGACTCAGGGATTTGCCTAAAACCAGTCAGTTAAATTGGTTTGATGACATTGTTACAGGAAATTATTTTTGACTTCAAGAAAATACTTTTTGGTGTCTGGTACTGAATTGTTCTTAGTCATTCTTTATGGCTTTCCCCTATCAACATTGGACGGGAATAGCATGATGGGATCAGAAACTTTGGGACAAGATTAAATTACAGCATTTGTTGGACATGTAATGTGATCCTGTAATTAGAGTGAGGGACTAGGCTATGCCGTGTTAAAGCTATTAAGTGTCAGACAGAGTTGGAGCAGCCTAAATCAAGTCTGGTTCTGCTGGGATTATACAATGGCAGAGGCGATGCAGTTAAGTTTCCATACAGCAGTTTCCCTGAGGTTGAAGAGACAGGGTTTTCCGCCTTTGAATACTCACTGTTGGTATCCTACCAATTTAAGGTAGTACACGTCTTCCCACTGTGGAGTTTGGATGGTTCTTTACATGGCACGGTGCAGTCCTGAGAGCTGCTGGCTTGGTTACAAATGAGGGCTCAAATCCTGCTCACGCAAACTCGGAAAGGGCTTTGAGCCTTATTCTGCAGTTGTCACATGGGGACCTGCTCCTGCAATGCTTGCTCGTTTGAGGAGCATAAAGATTGCAAGATGCTGTCTCCAACCTTGTCCCCTTGTCCAATGGGATGGGAATTAGTTTGCCAAGAATAATGACAGGTTTCAGAGTAGCAGCCATGTTAGTCTGTATCCTCAAAAAGAACAGGAGTACTTGTGGCATCTTCGAGACTAACAAATTTATTTGAGCATAAGCTTTTGTGGGCTACAGCCCACTTCATCAGATGCACAGAATGGAACATATAGTAAGAAGATATACATACACGTACATATGTCTGCTCCATTTCTTTTTGTCAAGAAAGAAACCTGTGGACAAATGGAGCTTGGTTAGTAGTCTAAGTTTCAGGAATCCTGGAGTTGCAGGCATCCACACTCATAGGTGTCAGACCTTCAGCTCGCTTCCTGTGTGTTGGATAAAAGTCCATGTGGTCTAGCATGTCGGCTTGTGTTTGCTGTACGATTACATTGCTCTGTTGTAGGAACCATTGCATTATTACACACATGCAATTTGAAAATGCTTTGCAAAGCTATTACGACACTAACCATTTTACAGGTGTTAATTCCCCTGCGCTCGCGCTCTCTCCCTCCTCCCCCCGTCTCTTTAAATGAAGCCATTTTAAATTTGTGATGCCCCAATAAAGGATGAATAGCTTCAGAGCTACTTAAGCCACAGAGTATTTCTGCCTGTGTTAGTTATTGTAGGGTGCACATCTATTACATCAAATCCCCTCAGAACCTTTTAAGCAGGACCCTAAACAGATCTGAAAGTCAAGGAAGAGGATGCTCGGTATGTATCTGTTCCTCCCCTCTGTGCTTCCTGGAATGTTATTACTAGTCAAGGACAGTGAATACAGAGCCACCAGTGGGTCCTTGCTTCCATCCCACCTCTCCATTCCCCTGAGCACTGCTTTAGAAAGCAGTGAGGGGGGGTTACCATCACAAAATGGCATTGTGAAGTTCCAGTTTCATTATTTCGCTGATCAGTTTTTCTTCGTTTACAAGCCACAGGATGATTTTCTAGGCAGCAGCCTGTCAACTCAGACGGGGATCTGAAAATCAAGCTGTTTTTCCCCCCCTGCTTTTGTCACCAGTAATAATGATTCTGCTGTCAGAATTTGGCTGACAACATGGCTCGTGATGCCCGAGGCAGGTTAAGAATCCAGCTCACTCCCCTCTAGCTCTAGCAGTAGTAAAAATTAGCTTTAGCAGTGGGGCAGACACCTGTGTGACTCTCACACACGGAGCAGATGCTGTCTTCACATGATCACTTTTCTGACCATAACCACACTCGTAGTCACATGTGGAAACCGACCGGAGTGTTAGGAATCCTGCACTAGCCATTGAAAGGGCAGTGGTGTGCTCGGAGGCAGGATTTGCATACATTTGTATTTACAAAGGTATAGGTATGAATAGAGGCTCTATTACTGCACTCTGAAAACCAAGTCCCGACAGAAAAGAGGAGAGCTCCCGCATCATACCGATCTGACGCCCTCTCCCCAGATCCAACCCTCCAGCCCCCTTAATCACAAAATGTGTTCTAGCAAAGCATTAGAAAATTTGAAAACATGCTCTAAACGTTTGCCTGAACAAGAAAATAAGCCTAGAAGGGGGCGGGTATCCTGGTTATTGGAAAATCTGTTGTCTTTAGTCACGTAGAAGCTCCAGAGTTCAAATCTTTTGATTTGCTCATGTGCTTTCCATAAGTGGAATTTCAGTGAGAAAATTCTATAGTGCTTTGGTAATTATTCCCTCTTACCTGGCAGGTAAACAAAACCTCTTCATATTTTCTTTCTCTCTTTTTAATAAACGTGCTGTAGACTCCTAGCCAAGTCACACACCAGTCTCTTAGCCTTTGTGCCAACATGGCCCCTGATTCAGGGGTTAGCTTAAGCGCATGCTCAGGTCCCTTGCTTCAGTGGGACTTGAGCACGTGCTCAAGGTGCTTTCCTGAATTAGTATCTCATTTGCATCAGATACATTGCAGCAGTGCAGTGGTGGTTTGTTTAAAAGGTACATGTGCTCCCATTTTTCTGGGTAAACTCCCATAAAGGGTTGTGGTTTTACACTCAGAAGAGATGTTGTATTCCCACATTAGAACTAGTGGCTGCAAATGTTTTCTTGCTCCAGCTTGACGTGAAGGACATACCACAGGACTGATTCTTCCTCTCTCACCTTGAGTAATACCCTGTGATTAGCACCATCGATTTAAATTGGACGTCTCACTGAGTAAGGTTCCACTCAGCCTGGGTAAGGGCAGCAGAATCTGGCCGCGTGCTTTTCAAAGAGCACATACAGTGATATGCAACGGAAAAACGGTAGTCTTTAGGGGATGGTATTTTATGTCTAAGGGCTTCTGGACGCATAAAATCAGGGAGAATGCGCCTGTGTAATCCGATCTGTTCTTGAAAGCCTTGCAGAGGGCTGCCTGCTGCAGACATGAGCTGTGTCAATAAGAACTCTATTCACTCTCTGAAAACAGCCTCGTGATCCAGGTTTGATTGGCAGCCTTCCTAAGGGAGGGCCTTTTTTGAGCCAGGGCTTGGATTTTGGCGGCACTTCTGACTGACTCGACTGCCTTTTCCGCCTCCCATTTATTGTTCTTTCCTCGGCGCGATAAACTTGGATTTCAGATCTGGAGGCTTCTTGGGGGAGCGGTGGGAATTTCATGCGAGGATAACATGAGTGCAAAGAAGGTTTCCTTTCTCAGCCAAAGCAGCTTGTAGGAAAGAGAAGGTGACAGATTTAGAAGAATATGAGGTAGGAGTTGAAATTGCCATGTGTGAGAGAGAACATTCATGTGTGCTACTCAGGGTGCTTTAATTACTGTATAAAGCACATGCCCTTATGAAAGTCAGATATTTTATTGTGCAGAATATATATTCATACGCCCTCATGCACATTCTGGATGGCTTTATACAAGC